GTAGAATAATTAAATGCAAAGGCATTTAAATTTAAAAAGAAAAAAATCTAGTTTAAAGAAACTAAAGAAATCTTTAACTACATGAAATTAAAGAAAATAGAGAAAGAAAAAAAAACTTAAACTACACAAATAGATTAAAGTAAACAAACTAACTAGACGAATAGATTAAAGAAAATAAAAAAAAAGAAAGAAAAATTTTAACTACACTAATAGATTAAAGGGAAAAATTTTTTAACTTCACAAATAGATTAAAGAAATGTAACTTCACGAAAAGATTAAAGAAAATAACTAAAAAAAAACTACACAAATAGATTAAAGAAAATAAAGAAAGAAAAAAAAAACCTTAACTACACGAATAGATTAAAGTGAAAAAAAAAATGTAACTTCACGAAAAGATTTAAGAAAAAAACTACACGAATAGATTAAAGAAAATAAAGAAAGAAAAAAAAAAACTTGAACTACACGAATAGATTAAAGTGAAAAAAAAAATATAACTTCACGAAAAGATTAAAGAAAATAACTTAAAAAAAACTTTAACTACACGAATAGATTAAAGAAAATAAAGAAAGAAAGAACGAAAACACTTTAACTACACGAATAGATTAAAGAAAATAAAGAAATAAAAAAAAATGAATGAATGCTAATATATTTTAATACAAGTTTACTAACATCGATTTTCTTTTCTAGCATGGCTGTTCTTTGGATTTATGTAGAAGACATCCGGCATCAATTAAACTCGTCGATCGGAAAAAATAGTAATTTGTTGAATAAAGATTTAAAACGTACATATTATTTAATTCAGTTTCTTCATTTTCTCTGGGACCACTTGGTGTGGAAATTGGAAAAGACCACGAACACGTCCTACCCTGTACGTTCTCGGTAATTCACTAAGTGATATTCGTCATGAAGTGATACCTCGAGTCGAGTGAAAAATAATTCTCCGTTCTTGGCCACAATCAAGGCATGCCTTTTACTCACCATTTCGTTGTTCAGTGACATTTGATTGACAGGGCTTAGAATTGTTAATATAGCGATAATACACGTCAGGTGGGTGGAGCCTAACTTTGATTTCAATGCCAAATCTAATTATCGCCTAGGGTCAGGAGGATAATATTTCTCGATCGGTTTTTAACGCAAGTATTTAAACGATTTAATCTTATTTTCTGTCACAGGCAATAGAGAATGTTCTTCACAATTCCCTATGGACAGGCTTTGCCTTTGATACGACCCATATAATGCAAATATTGTCCCTTGTTATCAGCTTACATGTACCCCTCACAACAATGGCTAACGAGTGTCAATTGAAGTGAATAGGACGATATTAATTTCATAATAAATAACAAGAATATTGTGAAAATATATTTATTCAAATAAACAGACATTTCAATAAAATGATAATGGTAGGGAAATCTATGTTTCTAGGAAATGCTAATGTTATTTCATTAATTTTTGAGGAAAAAAAATGGCGGCAAAAAAATATCGATGCGAGTATCGATGTTTCCGTCCGATGCGTGGTTTCCCCTTGTCAGTGATGCAGGACGTTGGGCCTGGAAAGGACAGCTGTCTACTCGTTCGGATGATACGGAAAACCAAAGTCCTGTGTACATATTGGCGTGCACGTAAAAGATCCCTTGGCAGTTGGAATTCGATAGGCCGTAGCGCCGCTGCCCAGGCAAAATTTCCCTCATAACACACTGTATGGCGTATGCCCGTCTTCATTAGCCCAGTTTAGGAGCAGAACAGTAGGACGATAAACCCCATTTCATTTCAGTTTGTAGAACCTTGTGAACCCTCAAAAGACAAAAATTATAATTTCATCTGTATAAAATTGTCTTGTTAATGCCCCCAATTACCTACGGTACTAAAGAATTAATATGCAACAATTTTTTTTTTCTAATATCAATTTATCAGTTATATCCACTCTATTTCTTAGATTTATTACAACATATGGTTTATTGTCCCCCGCCTTTCGAAGAAAGCAGGGGACTATTAAAATGGGTTCGTCCGTCTGTCTGTCTGTCCGTCTGTCTGTCCGTCACACTTTTTGGGACACAATAACTCTCTTCCTAATTGAGCTAGAATGTTCAAACTTGGTGTATGTGTTTATTAGGTCAATGCCTTGATGGAGTTCGAAGATGAGCATTTTCCGCTTAGGGTAAGCAGAGATAAGCAATTTGATTGGTTGATGCTTTGGGACACGATAACCCTTCTCCTAATTGGGCTAGAATGTTCAAACTTGGTGTATGTGTTGATTAGGTCAATGCCTTGATGGAGTTCGAAGATGAGCATTTTCCGCTTGGTTGATACTTTGGGGCACGATAACTCTCTTCCTAATTGAGCTAGAATGTTCAAACTTGGTGTATGTGTTGATTAGGTCAATGCCTTGATGGAGTTCGAAGATGAGCATTTTCCGCTTAGGGTAAGCAGAGATAAGCAATTTGATTGGTTGATGCTTTGGGACACGATAACTTTAGTTCTAATTAAGTGAGATTGATGAAACTTGGTGTATAGTTTCATTACAGTAATACCTTGACTAAGTTTGATAATGAGCATTTTCTGCTCAGGGTAAGCAGAGCGATACGCAATTTGATTTTTATATGTGTCCTCTAATTATTTTCCTATTTCGGCGGGGGACATCAGCCTCACTGTTGGCTTGTTCTAGTCTAATTGTACATTTAATCACACAGATATATAAAGTTAATTACCATTATCTAAACAAACCATGGTATATCATAATTGTACAATCCCATTCTGTCGGTAGTATTGTATCTATCATCATAGCTACCTAATTGCTTAACTATACTCAATGGCTACTCTTAACACTTAATTAGTTTTTTGTAGAATAAACCCCTTTGATCTTGTTGTTGTCCTGTATGGTTTCATGAATTGTTGTTATAGTTTTCTGTATATATTGATCTCATAATTCTTGCATTACTACTACAAACACCAAGTCATCATCTGTGAGTGCGGAGAAGAATGTACCACCAACCATGTCCTGGTAGACTGCGAGGTATACGAGGAGGAGAGAAGGGAACTAGTGAGAACAATGGAGACCAACAACACACCATTCAACACTAAGAACCTACTCTTCCTGAGACCAGATCTGAAACTGCAAATCTTCGAACAAATCCACGCCCTAATGGACACAGTTGGACTAAGTAGAATAGTGAAGTAAGAGGGGGTCACGGTTAGACGGGCCCGGCATCTAAACACTAAACTACAAAGGGGATTTATACCAAACTGGCAGGATCAGACGGACTCGGCATCTAAACACTATTCCACCAAAAACAGACACCAAACCTACAGAATGGGATAGTGGAGTAAGGGGAGGTCATGATAAGATGGGCCTGGCACCTATACACAAACCCCACAAAGATGACATCTACCAAACTAGCAGGATAGTGGAGTAAGGGGGAGTTACGGTCAGACGAACTCGGCACCTAAACACTATTCCGTAAATAAAACTGATACCAAACCCAGAGAGTGGGATAGTGGAGTAAGGGGAGGCCACGATAAGACGGGCCTCCACCTAAACACTAAAACGATGACATCTACCAATCCAGAAGCAGACGTAATCATCTACCAAACGATAAGTTTTATATTAAATAAAGGGAAGAACTTCCCACTGAACCAAATCCATGGCCTAAGGCCAAATGGAAAGATTGCAAAATCATATTCTAAAAAACAGGAATCAGCTTCGGCTCTCCTATGTCTTGTCTGCGATATCACTTATGTGGAAGCAGTAAATTTATACAGTGTTTAAGGTCATGAGACGAAGAAGCCTATTGATTTTCAGCGATTTCCGATAATTACTGCCAGAGTTATGGCCCTTGATCACTTCAAAAAATCTTGTGGACGCTCTAGAGGCCAAAGTTAATATCCGATTGACCTTAAATTTACACACAGTGTTTAAGGTCTTGAGACGAAGAATCCTATTGATTTTCAGCGATTTCCGATAATTACTGCCAGAGTTATGGCCCGTGATCACTTTGAAAAATCTTGTGGACGCTCTTAGAGTCTAAAGTTAATATCCGATTGACTTTAAATTTATACACAGTGTTTAAGGTCATGAGACAAAGAAGTCTATTCATTTTCAGTGATTTTCGATAACTACTGCCAGAGTTATGGCCCTTGATCACTTCAAAAAAAACTTGTGGATGCTCTGAAGGCTAAAGTTAATATCTGATTGACTTTAAATTTATACACAGTGTTTGAGGTCACGAGGCGAAGAATCCTATTGATTTTCAAAGATTTCTGATAATTACTGCCAAAGTTATGGCCCTTGATCACTTTGAAAAATCTTCTGGATGCTCTAGAGGCCAAAGTTTATATCCGATTGACTGCAGATTGATACACAGAGTTTAAGATCTTGAGACGAACATGTATATTGATTTTCAATGAATTTTTATGACTTGGAACAGCTAAATTCATGATGCATTATTAAAAGATTTGTATACAAAACGTTAGCATGGGGCAGAACTTTATAAAAAAACAAACAAATTCTAATGGTTTTCTGAGTTGTTGCTCTTAATCAGATTTTAGTGTATTATAAATGTTTCATTACCGAAAAAAGTAAAAATATGCGACAACTCTTGTTGACTGCCCGAACGATTTAGCTGCTGTGGGTGTATGTTTCGTTGCCTGGCAACCTATCTTTATGACTTGGAACAGCTAAATCCATGATACAGTATTAAAAGTTTTGTATACAAAACGTTAGCATGGTTTTCTGAGTTGTTGCTCTTAATCAGATTTTAGTGTATTATAAATGTTTCATTACCGAAAAAAGTAAAAATATGCGACAACTCTTGTTGACTGCCCGGACGATTTAGCTGCTGTGGGCGTATGTTTCGTTGCCTGGCAACCTATCTTTCCATAAGTATGTGTTTTTGTGTATTGCTCTACCCAGTTACTAAATGCCTCTTAAAGATTAATAATAATACAGTTAACAGTGAAAGTGATTAGGATGTTTACATGTATTACATAAGATAGTTTTGTTTCAGGATATTGTTCCCCAGAGCTTGCTAGAAAATTATCTTGGTATGGTAGATCCATCTCGAGCCCAAACAGTTGATACTGAAATAACACGACATTGTGCCTATAATTTACCAGCTGTAGCTTATACATTGGGTAGAAATAACTGGCATGTTATTAGAAATTTATACGAGATTTTAACACAAGATGTGCAGGTAAATTTTCATTTTTGTACGTCCATACATGTGAGTGTGGGCGTATTATGTCGTCACCCTGTCTGGCAGTTCGTCAACAATTGGTTTTGTGAACAGGGTAGGGGCTAAAGTGTTTGACAAATTCTTTTCAAATTGGGTATGCTTTGGGACACGATAACTTTAGTTCTAATTAAGTTTGATAATGAGCATTTTTTGCTCATGGTAAGCAGAGCGTTAAGCAATCTTAATTGGTTAATTCTTTGGGGCACAATAACTTTAGTTTTTATTAAAATTAAAGATACATTATGGGAGATTCGATAACGAGTTGGCAGTTCTGAATGTAATAGTTAAAAACTAGATAATGTAAATGTAATTTGCTGAAAATTACATACAAATTGATCCACTATGAACAGAGAACAAACCGAGTGAATTTCCGCCTTGATCATCATTACTAAAGCCAGTACGATAAATAGCATAGGCTTGATTATCCATTTAATCGTTAAATCGTAAAGGAAAGTTATGCAGTAAATCGGCTCACAATCCACTAAAGATCGCAGGCTAGCGATGCCATCTAGAGTTGATTATGGTCTGGATAGGTTAATTAATGTCTAATTAATAATTTAGATAACATTTCAGGCCTAAAGAAAGACCTGCAATAGACAGATTTAGCTCTTGCATAATGTATGTTTAAGTGAGAGTGATGAAACTCCGAGTATAGATTCATTATATCATTAGCTTGACTATGTTTGATGAGAATTTTCTGCTTAGGCTAAGGAACAACAAGCAATTTGATTAGTCAAGATTTTGGAACATAACTCAAGGTAGAATGGTTAAACTTGATGTAGATGTTCATTAGGTGAATGTCTTGACCGAGTTCATTGATTAACATTTCGAGCTGAAGCTAAGCAATTTCATTGGTCGATGCTTTGGGATAAGATAACCTTGATTCTATCTGATAGAGAGTGATGAAACTTAGTGTATAGTTTGATTGCTCGATACTTTTGAAAAAAATAAATGCGCGATTGATTAATATGTCATCTATTTATTTTGGGATTTCAGCGGAGGACATCAGTCTCACTGTTGGCTTGTTAATGTTACCGATAAAACATTGGTGTATAATTTTCAGTGCTCCTACGGTTAGGACTTTGTTATTCGAATAACCGTAGCTATTAACCGGTTAGTAACTGTTATAGATTAGACATGGCAATGCCCTTAATAAGAAGTATAGGTACATAAAAATTATATCAAACAAAAAAAAAAATTTATCGGCTTTCAAAATCTTTTAAATATTAAATTAAATAGCAACTCTGTGACGTCAAGTTGAAAAAAGGTTACAAATCGGGAAAGAACGACTTTCTTCAAACGGGAGAAAACCATGCAGAAGGTGGGGGGGTGGCAGATCAAGTTCATCTCTGGGCGGGGAGGGGGGGGATTTTATGGATTTATCAAGACTACTTCACAGCCAGAAGGGCCGATCTCAAAATTTCACCGTTATTGAGAAACAGCCTCTGCATGCCACGAAATTTCACGCGAACGATACCAATTGGTTATGTGGGGTCGCGCCACCTCAAAAACATGCAACCGATTTCCCGGTTATGCAAATTGAAATATCGGTTACGTTAACAAGTTTCATTAACAGATTTATTCACATTTGATCAATTTTTTTATATAGGATGACTTGTGACACAGGTCTAAATTATTTGTATTATAGCACAAACTCCATTCATTCATTCTTGGTATTTCATTTCTCCATCTTACCGGTACTTTGACAGATCACATATTTTGACACCACGTAGGCTATTGACCAGTTGCAATCAGGTTTAAAAATGCCCCTCACCCCTTATGCCTAATTCTTTAAATGATTAGTTATGCCATAAATATTTGAAAGCGTACCTTTTGGATTTTCAAACACAAAATGAGAAATGAGTTTGACTATTTAACATGTCGGCTATATTTCCAAAGAATTTACTACACATGTTCCTTTCAGTTTTGATATTATTTCATGACATCAAACTATTCTGTTTTCTTTTGAGACTTTGTGTATAGAGTGCCGAGGTTTATAAATACTGTTTGTCAATCAGTCGCTACCTATGAGTGAGGCTATCTCATGCTACATGCTTGGATGAATGATTGCAAGTGACAAGTGTAATATGAAGTACGCATGTAGTCTTCAGTGACCGAAAACAATGTGGTAGCTACCATTCCTGGTTTTTGAAGGTCAGATATGATACAAAAACGAAAATCCATTCATAATTTTAAGAACTGATTCCCCTCATTATTAAAATGTATAGGGATTTAGTGAAGTGGAATATTTTTTTTCTAACGTTTTATTTTTTAAAGGGGAACACCATGGGATTTAAGTCATAAACACTTAACCTCAAAATATAATATTAAATATAAAAGAATATAAATTAGTCAAGTTATTTCTTTAAAAAATACATTCACTGCAAGTGGAAATGAATAATAGCACCATTTAAATCTGGATAAAACATGAAAACAGCGCAACCATTTTATGTAACCAATTGGTTACGCAATGGTCAGCTGACGTAACCAAAGAAAATGGTTACGCAGAGCATAAACCCGCAACCATTTTTCTGGTTATGCCACAATTTGAAATTTCGTGGCCTGCTCTGGGTGATTTTTGGCCAATTTTGTCATTTTGGGTCAATTTTCAGACACCTATTGTAGCGAGTCTAGGGTTTGGATGGAAATGGTGATGTTAGTGGGGGTCTTCCTGTGTCCCAGTGTTAAGACCATAAAGTCGCATCTATTCTCTGGGAGTAATGATCAGCAAAATTGTAACATATGGCGACTAAAACAGAAAATATACACCTGCGAAGATTAGCTCTATTTTCTATGTCAATGTGGTCTAGGGGAAAATATCGTAATGGTTTTATGCACAGCTCGACACCCTCTATCGATATTAAAAATAAAATCTTTTGTCACCTTTCTTCAATCAACCTCAGGTTAGGTCTTCAAATAAATGATATGACATAGGGTAAAAAATTCAACTTCATCATGGTATCATTTTCAGAGCCCAAAATGGATCTTGCCAGGCCCTTTAAAACTTAATTTGTATATGAAGGACATTTCTATCGGGGGCCACCTCTCAAAATATTGTTGAAATGAACCCCAACATACATGGGCCATTGAAAATTTTCTTGTATCGAGTCTCCGAATGATGGACTGGTTGGTAATATGTGGTTTGGTTGTTTCAGGTTACTGTTGGAACTGATGACATCCCTCCCACTTATATATCATCTGCAGCTACTGGTAGTGCTACGTCATCTGCAGCTATGGATAGTGGAACTGCCATGCTGCTTTCCCCTTCTGTAACTTACAGCGACACCAGTGACAGTAATGACTTAGTACTACCAATAATCGGCCTAGATTGATGATTACATGCAAAACCTTTGGGAAGGTTGCTAAGAATTCGCGCAAACCCTACTTCAAAACAAATCAGAATTAGAATGCTAGGATTGGTTCAAGATTTGCATGTAATCATCATTACCTGATCTAGGCCTATTATCGGTAGTTCTAAGTCATTACTGTCACTGGTGTCGCTATCAATAGCTGCTACAGAAGGGGGAAGCAGCATGGCAGTTTCACTATCCATAGCTGCAGATGACGTATTATCAGTAGATTGATGATGGATGCAAGCAGCACTACCAGTAGCTGCAGATGTTACTGTCATCAGTTCCAACAGTAACCTGAAACAACCAAACCACATAAAATAATTTACTAAACTTATTTTCTAAGTATTTGCAAGGTGCAACATTTGTAAAATTTTCTGAAATCAAGTCTACGATTGATTGACTGGCCTGGTCCAGTTTTCAGCCAATCCATCATCCGGAGACTCGATACAAGAGATTTTTCAATTGCCCATATACATTGGGGTTGATATTTAGAATATTTTGAGAGGTGGCCCCTGATAGAAATGTCTTCATGTACAAATTCAGTTTTAAAAGGCTCAGTAAAATCCATTTTGGGCTCCGAAAATGATACGATGAAATTGAATTTTTGACCCTATGCCATATTATTTATTTGAGGAACTACCCTGTGGCGGTGTAGGAACTTGGCTCTTTAGACAGCCCATTTCCTCATTATGGGCAGCATAATATTTCCAGCAAATACATAGAATAGAAGAACAAAATTCTAAAATTAACAAGAATCTTTTAATGCTGCGTAAGTTAATAAAAAAGAAGAGAGCTGGCCTTTAGTAAAGGTATTACAGCTATATCAGACTCCATGCCGCTGGTTTGAGGACTTCTGAAGCCCATTGCTTAACTCAGTCAACTGGAGTATCACCGCACAACTGTTTTCAGCTAATTTGATTGTTGTCGAGCACACACGCAAGGTTTCCATCGATATTTCAAAGACACAATTTCTTCCCTCTTTTTTTCAATAGTATTTTATTTCACTTAGCCATTCCAATAGGAATAAGCTGAATACAAGTGACACAACGCGGTCTTTATATGGCTTCTCCTTAGATGTGGCATCAGCTCCCGTTCAGTTCTCACATCACTTATTGCTATGTGCTAAAAGGTGGGCCTTAATGTCCTTAGTACATTTTTTCAATTGTATGACTTTCTTGGTCTATCTGGGATATGTACATGGCCAAAAATGAGAAAAAACACAATTTTGTGCGCTTTGGGGCACAGCCATCTTGGATTGGATGCCATCATGGACTGGATACCAATCCTCATCAAAGAGACTAGTTTTGCTCGAGCGGGTTTCAAGCTGCTACCAGTGAGCGCAGGCGGATGATTTAGTGAAAAAACAGAGTTGGCTTACCCTGAATTAAAGTAGTTGGCCATTTCATAGAGAATGAGAGATATACAATAGGGAAAATTCACCAACTTTGACTTGTGATTTCACATTGATTGAAGACATGTGACAGATTTTATTTTTTATATCGATAGAGGGTGTCGAGCTGTGCATAAAACCATTTCAATATTTTGAGCTACCCCTGCATCATAGAAAATAGAGCTAATCTTCGCAGGTGTATATTTTCTTTTTTA